ACCTCAGCTGGGCTAGCAAGTCAGCTGGGAGCACTGAAGCTTGGTTGGGTCACCTGCTGCTTTGCATTGCAGCTCAGGAGCTCCTTGCAGCCCCAGAGCCACGGCACACCAAAAAGATCCCAAGCTGCTATGTATTCTTTCCCTTGCCTCCATGTGCTTATGCCACACACCTGCAACTTGCACCCAGGCTGCACAGCATCTCCTTGGTCCTCCAACACTCATCTCGGTTCCCCTGTGTTCCTTACCTGGGATTCCTTCCACTTTCCAGTTAACAACCTCCATGTCTGGAGTTATGATAGCAACTCAGAATGCCAGGATTGCCATTCCTATGCAATGTGGCCATGAGGTATCATGCTTTATGACCGTATTGCTTAGTGATTAAAATTTGGTCCCAACTGTGATCAGAGGTTGAAGACTACCAGTACAGAAATTACTTGCTGTTTAATCTGCCAGGCATAAGGATTTTGCTAGACTACAGTTCATGAATTAAAAGGTGCTCTTGGAATACATCACAGAAAGCAAATCAAATTGTTCTTTAAATTTTATAGGTTGCTTATAACTATGGATTTAAGAAAATAGCATACAATGCATACAATGCAACTAAAGAAATGGAACTATTGGTTGTTGAGGTAATAATTAATATATTATCAATTTATTTCATGTTTATAAACTATGGGCTAGAATTCAAAGACTATTCTACTATAATTGAAGGATAGAATAGTATTATTAAATTATAAATACATCTACCCATTCACCTGTTTGTTATGATCTTAATAACTTTAAGATCCTGGTAACTTCATTGACCATATTTTCCACTAACCATACGTTTTCATGTATGAAGTGCTTTATTATACCAAAGGAAAGAAGGAAATAAATTATTCTGAAGCAATTTCTTAAATAATAATAATAATAATAATAATAATAATAATAATAATAATAATAATAATAATAATAATAATAATTATTATTATTATTATTATTATTATTATTATTATTATTTATATACCGCCCTATCTCCCTTACGGGACTCAGGGCGGTGAACAGGCAATAATAAAAATCACAATAAATATTAAATAAAAAGCCTGCTCTAAAATACCCCATATAAAAACCCCTACCAAAACACAATCAAAACTACGCCAGGCCGGCCGCATGGAATAGATGGGTTTTCAAGGCTCGGCGAAAGAGGCGCAGGTCCGTCGTTGTACGTAGGTCGGGGGGTAGGTCATTCCAGAGGGCAGGAGTTGCCACAGAGAAGGCTCTCCCCCTGGGGGTCGCCAGCCGGCATTGACTGGCCGACGGCACCCTAAGGAGGCCCTCTCTGTGGGAGCGGACTGGTCGAAGGGAGGTATTTGGTAGGAGGCGGTGTTGCAAATACCTAGGTCCATTGCCATGGAGCGCTTTAAAAGTTGTTACTAACACCTTGAAGCACACCCGGAAGGCCACAGGCAGCCAGTGCAGCTCGCGCAGGAGAGGTGTTACATGGGAGTATCTAGAGGCCCCCAAAATCCCCCGCGCGGCCGCATTCTGAACTAGCTGGAGCCTCCAGGTGCACCTCAAGGGGAGCCCCATGTAGAGAGCGTTGCAATAGTCCAGGCGGGAAACAAAGGCTTGAGTGACCGTGCGTAGGGCGTCACGATCCAGAAAGGGGCGCAACTGGCGTATCATAATAAAATTGTTTTATTATGTCAGATTCAACATAAGTATTGGCTCCAGAACTACATAAACTTTTATCTTGTTGATGGCAGTCATTTTTTCCCCATTCTTAAGCAGTTGCAATTTTAGTGCCGTTTCAAATTCAAAATCATTTCCCAATATTTTTGTAGTAACAAAATGAACAAAATGAAAACTGCAGCAGATGATATGATCTTATTTTACTATTATTTTTTCCTCAGATTGTATTATTTGGATAATAAAGATAATCTAAATAATTGTATTTACATCACTGAACCTTAAGATGTGTATATTTACAATTTATTTTTTTTAAATTAAAAACCAATTTAAAAATAAGTGCATAAGAGTTCTATGGAGATATATCCAATCCTCCATAAACAAACTTCTGCTTTTCTTCATTCTGCCTATCAGAGCACCCTAAAATTGTCCTGAAAGATGTCCCAAGCTGTAAGTTGCCTGATGGACATATTCATAAGACTCCTGTTCTTTTAATACACATTGTTCTGTCAGTGAACAGGCACTGCAGCATATAACTTTCAGTTTTCCAAGGAATACTCTCTTAGCTCCATTTCCAGTCCCACTTTCCAGCACCTTCTATTTTTATTCCCATATAAGACCTTAAGAATCTGCCATTGGACAGTAATTTCACCATGCCATGGATTCATGCAAAAACGTTCAACATGCACAGGCTCTGAGTATGTACTATGCTGTATTCTGCCATAATTTATTATGTGTATTGACAAATCTTATGTTGACAACTGTATCCCTCCCTTCTTTTATAAACAAAAGGTATTAACATTGTGTATTAAATATGAGCCTAAATATTCATAAAATGTATATATGATGTGTTATGCAGTTAAGTGACAAAAATAGTACATTACACTCTTCAAATTTTAAAATTAAAAAAAATTAAAAGATGAAGAAACGAAAAGGATTCTAAAAACAATAGACTATTTTAATTAAACAGTCCACTAACATAAACAGAACTGAACATGAATGTAGTCATATCATGATAATTTATTCATTCCAGAGAGAATTTACTACAGAGAAATTCATACTTGCAAATACAATTTACTTTTTTCAATCTTGTGAAAGCTCTATAAATTGTAACTGCTGTATGAATTTTATTAGAGGAGAATTCTGTCACTTCAGAAACACACATGTCAGACTGAAAAGAAATTGATAGCAGAAGGCTTCATTTCTCAGTGGGCTTTAAACTACTTGAAGAAAGTGGGTGAGTGCTCATGTGCATAAATGCACATCAAACTATTTTGCACTATTTTTCTAGTGAAGGAAATTATCACAAAGTTCTAGAGTACTTTCTTAGAGTTCAGAATCAAAGTAGCTAATTTTCCAACATGGATCATTTGTGGATCAGCAGAGTTCTTCCTCCTCATCAAGGCCCACTGTTGAATTCTTCACTTTAATTCATCTATGCCTCACCCCAGCTGACACTACCATTAAGGAGAGTATGTATTTGGTATTTTACAGTGGAAAACAATGGCTGCATGTAAAAGGCATACATATGGGAAGAACTATAACTCGGTTTTGTAAACTGGGAAACATATATTAGAGATGAATTAAATTATTGTGTAATAAAAAGAAATACAGTGGAAAAAATTCACAATCACTGGCATTGTCACTGGCATTGCAACAATTACAACACAAGTGAAGTCCAATGTGAAAAAACTAAGGTAGAATTTAGATTTCAGAAAACATTCCTTGTGATATAGGTAGGTCCTACAGGGTATGTGCATCACCTAAGACTGGAATGAATCAGACCATTCAGAATTTTAATAGACTGCTGAATTCAAAGAATTAATATAAATAATGGGGAGGGAAAAATACACCTCAAGTTACAAAATGAAAACCAAGAAAGATCCTGAATGTCGCAGTAGCTGCAAACATCAATTAAGATTGCATACGAGACTGTCAGACTTTTTATTATTCTGTGCTAGCTGAACATTTTCTTTTATAGCTGACAATGTGAGTATCTACTTCAGCTAAATACACTGAAGTCATAGGTGATTGATTTTTTTATTAAGCAAACTATGACTTAAAACTGACTATGATACAGCTTTACAATTCTCAATTACAGCAGCAGTAAACCACCTTATGGGTTTTGTTATGGCTTGTTAAAGATACGTTTTCCTACCTTACAGAAGCTCAATTTTAAAATGTAAATGATACAGGTTATTGATAAACCAATTAGCACTGATGCAAAGCAAATTCCTCTTTTATCTCAATTACAACATGACAACTTAATAGGTCAAGATAGTCTAACATCTGAGACAAGGGCAATTCAATAAAACAACTGCATCTTGATATGGTAATTAAGAAGAAATGTGAATCCATTATCCTGTCTTTTGGGTGCATGTCTGTTTCCATGTATTTATAACATTCATGTATCTTTTTTAAAAAATAAAGCCAAACCAGATATTTATTCTTTAGTATTCTTCAGAGTGTTGTAATGTATTCAGTTTCTAGCAAGTGGCTGAAAGGATGTGCATAAGTGTACTAAAATCATGCTGTGAAAATCCAGAGATACCAAAAATAGGACCCAACAACAAATTTCAAATCGAAATGTATATGTATGTATACCCACATTTATATGAAAAAAATAAATGAAAGCAAAAGTATTTTGGCAAATATAACCAGCCTTTTAACAACAATATAACTTTTTAATTAAACACCCTGAAGTTGTTTTTAAGAACAAGAACTTATTATAGCACTTTTTTTTGGTACACTCTGTTAAGACTATAGTTCAGACTCTACACGGCCTGTAAGTGATGTTCTTGGCTTAACTCAGTGCTGGGATTCAGCCAGTTCGCACCACTTCAGCAGAACTGGAGGCTAATTTTTTGTTGCCCAGGCCCAGAAGACGTCCGGAAGTGGCATCCACAGAGAATAGGTTGTTCACATATTTGAATCCCACCACTGGCTTAACTGGGTACCTTAATGGCATTAGGCTTAACTTAACCCTAATTTTGCATTCAAAAGATTGGTTCCTGATGGATTATAATACATGCATGAACAGTATGCAACCTAAACAGAGCTACATGTTTCATCTGATAATAAGGAAAAGGAGTTACTATACTGTATATGTATTCTATCAAATTGAAAATGTACTTTTATTTTGCAGCCCTGTAAAGAATGTCACTGTTTATTGAAATTTCTAACTTAACAATGGTTTTAAAAAAACATGAAATACTAAATTTGTGCTATGTTTACTACTCTACATTTCTAAAACATTATTTTATATCCCTTTATATAAAAGGGTTAGTCACTTAAATGTAATCAAGATAAAGCAACGGTAAAATTCAACATACCTGATTCCAAGATTCATGGTCTCAGCAGTTCCAATCATACTGATGCCTAACAGCATATTATTGCAGATTTTTGCAGCCTGAAAATAAATGCAATAACTCATAAATTTCTCAAATTTACAATAACGATCTCTCAGGAGCCTAATTTTATTAGAAACTAGTCAACCCATGCCCTGCTGCATTATTGTTTAAAGAATATTTTCTTACCTAAAAAAAAACAAAACAAAAAAAAGAATGTCCAAGGATGGGCAAAAAAGTAGTGGGAGCAGAAGTGACTTCCAATATTCTACTGCCTTCCCTATTGAGTTTCTTTGTGAGAAACTGGCAGGGAGCATTGGAAGCCTTCCTTCCTTCCCTTCTCTTGCCCTCCTCTTCTTTGTATAATTTAACAATCTCGTGTTGAATTCCATCATTATAGAATATACCCATTCTCATTTCTACACTGTCTTAAGGATCCATGAAGTAAATCTGAATAAATCTGGATTATTGGTTGAAGTCTGGCATTAAATATCCAATATAAAGATGGATTTGCCCTTGAATAGTCAGTCACAGAAGGATTTTATTAATTCCTTGCTGGAAGGGCTTCTTGGCACCAAAGAATGTCACTTGGGAGAGGCACTTATATTGTCTGATATTTTTCTTGAACTAGTTTGCAACAGGTAAATTGAGGAGTTAATTAGGTAGCAGTTGCAAATTGTCTGTCCTGACCTTTCCCTTAATACATAAAAATCATGAAAGTGAGGACAGATTTTGGCCATGGCACCAATATCAGCAGAAATATTACATTATGCAAGTCATGCATTTTGCTTGATTCATTGTGGATATTATAACATAAAGGAACTTTTGCCAATTAGTTTGCCACATATTCTTGACCTGATCTTTCCTTTGCTCCTCCAACTTTTCTTGTCTTCTCATTATGTACCTTTCCTTGTGATTCTAGAGATGTACAGCACTATCATACTCTATCGTCTCCCTGGCCACATCCTTTGATGATAAGTTTGGTGTCATCTCTTGACCATGACATCCCCCTCTTTCCCCATGACATAATTATGCTGATCCTATTTCATTTTAATGTAATTATTTCCAGCACAATATTGTATGTTGCTGTTCTCATCAGAACAGTTTAATAAATTTCCTGCCACATTCTCCATTGAGCTGCAGGAAGCTGTTAAAAATAGCATCACATGATCCTCTCGAGGGCTAGGTCAGGGCCAGCCTACCTGATCTCCAGCACCTGAAAGAAGGTGCTGGTCTACACTTAATTTCAGAGTAGGAAACAGTTGTAAAATGAAACAGGATGGGCAAAGACTAACGTATAATGGCTAGTATATTTGTCTGACATCAGAAAGATCCAATTTCTACCCTCTCTGTAGCCATAGCACCTCACTTAGTGACTTTCTACCCAACCCACTCCCAGGTTGGGTAGAAATATAAGAGGATGGAGCACTATATTTGTGCCTTGAGTTCCTGAACAAAGATAGGATATAAATACATGTACATGTTTGTGTGCCAATGAAGGGAACATAATGCAATAAAAATATACAAGCCTTTCTAGGCACCTTAAAGTTGTTGCTTCTTTAAAAGACACATGATGCATCAATTCCTTGCTGTTGGGTGGGGGAGGGAGTGAGGAATAGCAAAAGTGGTTAGGAAACTATCACATTCAAAATGAAGATAATTTTACCAAAATGAAAATTATTTTACCAGCCCAACTATAATAGCAGTCTGAAGCAGTCACAATTTTTCAAATTCCTTCAGGAGTCATGGGTCCCAGATTTTGGAAGAATTGTCTATGTCATCCCATTTGAGGCTCTTTGGTACACAAATTCTTGCTCTATGATGGACCATTTTGCCCAGTTAATGCTAATAACAGCAAGAGTTTTAATAATATATAGAAGTTTTTGTTCCATAACCACTCTATAGAACACAGATTGGCAATCTTTTGGGGGTCACATAAATGCTCACCTGCACTCAATTGCCACTTTTCCTAGGTTTGGGAGAGTGTGTGGTCTAGTTTTCAAAACAAAATAGCTTTTCAAAATTCTATGTCACTTAAATTAACCAATAAAAGTCATGAAAAGCTCTTGAAATCACAATTATTATCTTTTGGTAGAGGCTGCCCAGCAAAAGAGGTTTCAATGGCTCATCACTATCAAAATCTTCATTAAGAGCCTTCTTACATATGTCTTTAGCAGAATTAGCCAGTAATACTTGTATCATTTGAGCTGATCAGGCATTTGTGTCATGTTGTGCCTTACCCTGACCTACTAAGCAACCAATTTTTCTTCTCTTTAATCTGTGCTGCTAGAATACGTAATTCTTGTTTTTGATTTTAGGCTTTACTAGTATATTTCATATTAGTATATTTTTATTAGTATATTTCATAAGCAACCAAAGGTATACAAATAATTTCACATTCAATTGTACCATTTTCAAGTAAAAAGAGCTGTTCTGCGTTCAAAATGAATTGTTTGTATCATTTTGGAAGTGTCTTAAGTTGAAAAAATGTTTCAAACTTAAAACAGAATATTTCATATTTGAAACACTTAAAATGCAAAACATGTTGTCTCTATAGGCAATCTTAACCTGTCTGGTCAGTTTCACTCTTTCTTTTTGATTGAAAAAACCCTGCCCTGGTTTTTCCTATTTAAATAACCGCACTTACCAACTTCTGCCCCTCCTCCCCACATATTTGTCAGGTTACCATTATATTTTCAAAGTATGTTGCAACCTACAATCATCATTGCCATTATTGCCATTATAGAATAAATCAGCTTGCTGCATGTCATAGTTTTCAATGGGAATTTCTATCTGGGAAGAGATATGCCTTCATCTTCATAGCTCAACAGCTCTGAACATTTTGTAAAGGGCCATATGAATGCACATATCAGATACTGAAAATATCAGGTATTGGGCAAGGTAGAGGACATAACAATTCATTTTTTCCCTTTTTTGGGTGGACTAAGGATAAGGTAACTTTTGTTCCTTCAGAGTTGTTGTAGATGGGCTGCGACCCTACCTAAATCCCATATTCTCCTGTTGTCCATTGAACGGCTCACTGTGTTACCTGCCCATTGTTATAGGTCATCAGAAGTAAAAATACTGTCATGTGGAAGTGCCCATACTACATCCCAAACAACTCATAGCATTATAGCTTTATTAGACTCCTATTTAAAAAAATTCTATTTTTCAGTGCAATTTTAAACAAAATAATGTAAAAACACTGCAATATTCCCAATCTCAATGATGCCACCATTTAAGAACCAGCCTATAATGAGTAGAGTTGGCAAGCCATAACAAAACACTGTTCATAAACTAAGTTGGGGTGGACACTCTGGTTATTACGACTGTGTTTAAAATGTTTTGTGGTAACAAAGCCATCAGAGCAGCAGCATAACACAAAGCAGATACATACACAAGACTTCAAACCTATTTTCTAGCAGGTTTTAGACAATATAGTTGGATAGTATTCTAAGGGAGACATACACGATTTGGTGCTGCATATGACCTTGGAATACAAATTTCCTACTTAATGAAAACCCAAGGAGTTGAAAACATCATGAGATTTGATAAACATGAGTTCAGTTGTATATAATAAAAGGGACTAAGAAAGGCAGAAAATGTGCATTTTATATGTAATGTTCCACATTTTTGTTTTGGTAACTTAGTTTATTTTTCATTTTATATTATTTCAGGTTGCCAAAGGAGATGGAGACTTTCTCTTATGTCAAATCACTTTGCATACACTAGTTGATTTATGAGCTACTTTAGGACTTTCCTCTGTTTTCTTATTCATTTAGAAATAGTATAAGATGCTTTTCAGTAAATCTAAGCAAAATTATTGTTAAGTAACAATCAGAATACAGATGGCTGATATGTAGCCCTCCAGAGGCTGCTGCACTCTAATTTTAACATGAACAGTTTGATGGGTTTGAATAGTTGATTTGAATAGTTGCAATCAAACTTCTAGAATACCACAGCTACATACCTACCTTCTAAACAACTAAATCACAAATACAACTGAAAGAAAAACAATGTGATACTTGCCTGCAGCACACTGAAAAAGACAAAAATGTCTACAAGAAAATGCAAAACTGCATTTTGTATATGAAATTTGCATGTGAGCCCTACAAACTCACCAGAAAAGTTTCAGTTTTCTTACCTATGCTTCAGATAAGGTGGCATTATAAACAGGGCTACAGTAGTATATCTTACTGGAAGTGGAGAGAGGATAGAACAAATGTCAATTAATTACCAGTTTAATGAAGAATTTCAGTTTGAAAGTAAATTTCAGTAAGTTTGGGAGGTATCTTTGGCTTATGAAGCACATTAATGCAATGTGAAAGGGAAGAGACACTAAAGCTTATATAACATGCCTAGGAATGATCTGCATTTACCTGTCCAGTTCCAACTTCTCCACAATAGACCACATTGGAACCCATACATGTGAGCAGCTCTTTTGTAGCATCAAATTCCTGCTCTACTCCCCCGACCATGAAGGTAAGATTTCCTGCACGAGCAGCTCCAACACCTACCATTAAATTAAGAATAACATAGTCATTAATGATTTTTAAGCTTCTTTTCATATCACTCCATTTGAAACTTCCTTTGTGCTTATCATCTGTATGGGAATGAAATTAAACAGCTCTCATCACTATCTTTTTTGATCCAATCCTGAATGCATTTACTTAGATATTAATCTTTGATTTCTCTGCGGCTTACAACTATATCTATCTCTTTGGTTAGTTTAATGGTTTTTCTTTCTCTCTCTACACACGACAGACACACACACACACACATACGTATACATATACATACATACTCATTTACAGACACACACGCACACATATGCATATTACTACAGATATCTTTTAAAATAATCAAAGATGTCAGAATTTCCATTTCAGATTTTAAAAAATGCACTAGTGAGTTTATTTGTGAAATGAAAACTAATTTAAGATTAGATGACTATCACAGTAGACTGTCATTTAACAGCAGGTAACAGCAGTCCACTATGACAGTCATCTAACAGCAGGTAATGTCACTTTTTAATGGAAGGAAGAGTTTATTCACACATTCTCCTTTTTATAAGGCATTGTTACAATGGCATTTGCTACAAATGTTGTATCCTGACCTCTTACCAATAGGAATTAAAAGTTAACAGAAGCTCTCCAACATTAAATATTATAAATAGTGTTTACCAATTATAGTTTTTTAAATTGTTCCAGAGAGTCATTATATATAAGAACAAAACAAATGTGATAATAGCTTTTACCTGGTTAATATTTTGATGAAAGCCAATTTGGTATTCATGAGATCAAATACCACCTAGGGAGACCTTGGGCGAGTCACTTTCGCGACCTTGGGCCAGTCACTCCTCACTAAAGTGAGGAGCCCTAGAAGGAGGCAAGGTAAACCAATTCTGAAAAACCTTGCCAAGAAAATTCTAGGACTTGTTTAGGCAGTCTCTGAGATTCGGACAGGATTGAATGGAAGAAAAAAAATATTGATAAGTTATTCTCCCATCTGTCTAGCATATTTTATATTTCAAGTTGGCACAAATACGGCATTTTTTTAAAAAAAGAAAACTAAAGTATTTTGTTTATAAGAATTTCCAAGTTTTGTCTGTTTTCCTTATCGAATTAGAGGCCACACATAAACTCAAGGCAAACTCTCACAGTGAAGAATGTATTTCTAACTACAATTAGTGCTTGATGGCATGTTATGCTGCATAAGAAAAATATCTATGACGCTTATGATTAGGAAAATTCTGCCCCATCAGTTCAGAATTGCTGAAGAAACCTTGTCAAGTTTCTTGACTATTCCACTTCTATGGCAAGTGGGAAGATGCTGCTGTTGCTGCTGCTATATGATGGATTTATTTTTCTCAGCTCAGTTCATCTTATTTGCTACTAGGCCAGGAAAAAGCCATTCTATCCAGTTTAGGGCAACATCAGACAGACATGGTAGATAGTACACTGATCTGTCCTACTATTTTTACAGCAATGTTTCCCAATTGTCAAGCTGCATATAGCAGAAATACTATATGAAGTGAGGAAATCTAACTTCAAACTCTACTAAGAATATGATTCATTAGTTAATCTGATCCTCATTCTACCTAGCTGAAAGGTTAGGTTACTGGAAAACAGAACAAAATTGTGCATTGTTTTTTTAGAAGAGAGGGAAAATATTAATCAGATAAAATGAATAATATATATAAACTGGAGTTAAATAGTTATCCAAGGTGGAGAACACACTTTTCTTTCCACCACAAAAAAGTATCACGATATCTATAGATTAGAAATTCGTTCTTTAGTTTCAGAACTGAAATAAATGTCTGTGTACCCATAGAGTCATTGCTTTTCCACAAAGTTCCTGGGTTTTACAAACTGAAATTGATGTATCCACTGTATTGTTAAATCACCAAAATTCACAATTCTGCATGGAACTTCTCCAATCACTCCAATCTAGATGTTATTCAATTACTTACAGCCAAAGGCATTGTTCTACTTCAAAGTGCTGGCCAACCTCTTTCAAGCAATCTTTTTTAACATGACAATGGTGTGTGAGAAGAAATGAAGTCTCATAGATGAAAAGCCCGAGATGAGATAGGTCTGCGGCAATAACAGTACACAGTTGTCAACTGGCCCTCCCACAGAGAAATGAACAGCTCTCAGTCTGCTGGGGCACATAGTATAGATCTAAGATATGAACTGGAGATAGACAGGCAGATATGGCTTGAGTCTTATAGTTGGCAATTTCCGGCTCTAATTAAGGCTTTCCTGGTATCTGTAATAAAACTAATTTATCAAAGAACTGTGTACTTGAATCTCCGCTTGTTTGTCTTCACATTCAAGTAATGGTCTGGCTGAATGAAGCATGACAGTTAGCCAGTATGCAATTTCCAGAATTTTAAAGGAAGCCCATCACAGGGTATACTATTTGATGAAAATCCAGGATTTAATCTTTGAATTTATCTTTATGCTGCATGCCTGTGTACTGATTCTTTATTATAGGTCTTGCTACAAATCCTCTTTCTACCTCAAGTTCAGTGGCTGTGGTAATTTTAGTTGTGGCATGCTATCATTAAGAGAGAAATGAATTCACTGAGCAGGACTGGAAATGGACATCTGCAAGGAGGAAAGCTTAATCTTATCTCTTCCCAAGCAACCTTGAAGAGATTAGAAAGCTAGGACATGGCCAAATGCTTCTATTCTGCTTGCTCACACAGCCCTAATAATGGTCCCCAGACCCAGGGAAATGCTGTGTTTTGATTTTTTTAAAAGCTTATCCATACATCCATGATATACAAAACATGCCATTTTGAATAGCATCACTCCCATAGGATATTTTTTGCACCACAAAAATGAGGCTGGAAGAATGGTTAACTAGGTGGTTAGTTGTCACTTCCCAACAGGTTTTCAGTGTAAAGGATAAAATTTAAGCAGCAGCAGTAATAAGAACAAGAGGAGGAAACAAACTTAAAAACCAACATTCAGCTCTGCTCATTAGAATTCAGCCTTTTCCTCTTCTCCATATAGCACATTTTCACCGTGGCCACTGGTGATTTTCTGATCATAAGACATGGAGCCATCAAATAGTGCCAGTGACTTTCCATGTCCGTATCTAAGCTCCTTTTGCCTAGTCCTTGGACAGAAATCTGATGTCAAATTACTAACCCTCTTCCATATTATTTGGTAATTGTTTTTGCTTTATGAAGATGCTGCCCTAATACAATTTTTGAATTCTTTTTAAAGTTAATGGAAAACATTTGCTTTTTAATATATGTGACACAGACAGGAAGAGAGAAATAAAATCCTAGGCTTATTATGATAGCATTTATACAATAAATGACCAATCTGTAGAATAAATGTTGTTGGTGTCTAAGTCTCTACTTAACTATAAGAATACTAATATATTAGTCTTTTGTTAGGTTGGTAACTCTAGTTCCCCACCCCCTCATTTCACCTCATCCAAAAGACTGCTCATCTGTCTATCTAGCAGTCAGAGAAAAAATGGCATAAGAATCACAGAAGCTAAATGGAAAGGGACAGTCTTACAACAGGTCAGCTGGAACCCAGTAGATCATTGACCTTTCAAAGACGATTTCTGCATACAACATAGGATGTTCACATAGGAAGGCTTCCATTTTTCCCATGGAAAAACACTTCCCCATGGATAACTTTCCTTTCTCTTCAGCCTACCTCAATAGCAGATTAGTAATAAAAAGGAGGTCCCATGATAATGACATATTTCCAACAAATATTACAGTATGTGGGCTTTAAAATGTTCCTAGGAACAGATTTTGTTAAGAACTATCAAATTGTATTTAAAATTAACATGTCAATTTTTTTAGCTAGTTTTTGGAACAAGTCAGCTTGTCAAAATTCAACATGGAAATTTGCTTATGTATTTTTAAAACAAAAGCCCACATTAAAACTAAACTGGAATGATTTCCTGATCCAATCTTAGGTCATACTGATATTCCTATTAGTTTTAATCTTAAAAAAGGAATCACATACATTAAATTCTACCTGAATTGTTTTCTTGGGAAGGCAATATCCATAAGCCTCTTTTGAAATGGGCTGAAATTTAATGGTTTAGTCTAGTTTTGAGCATACATTTGTTATAGGAAAAATCAAGAAATAGAAATAAATTTTAATTCTTTGCAATGCTACATTAAAGAATTAAAGAAATTATCTTTGCTATGCTTGTGGAAGCCAAAGAAAGTATATGATAGTGATAACACTTTTGCAAACAGTTTATTAAAATAAACATGATATTACTATTTATAAATAACAACCTACTCCTTTCTAAGTGCAATTGCAATTATGTCATTACTTATCGAAACATTTTGCACAAGGAAATCAACAATGAAACATAAACACTGAAATGAAATATTTAGTATTATGCTTGAGGAATTAATGTGTAATATGGTCCAGATCTAATCCTTGCTTACTAAACTATAAAATACATTCATAAGATTTTTTAGATTCCAATATGTGATGCTATACATTTTGTGCTGAAAACAGTATGCTCCAAAACACTATTTAAAGGTTATTTCATTCTCCCAGTAAATTATTAAATGTACAAACATGTACTAATATGTGGTTAAATGTTTTAAACAGTCTACCCTAAAATGAGATAAAGGGGAGGGCTAAGGGGACCAGGCTGCTGTGTGAACTACCTTTAAAATGCAATTGTTTTAATCATTTTCTACAGATGCCTCCTTCACTGGGTCTGCTGTCACAGGGACCATTTATGACTTGTTATGGTGTCTCTATTGTTCACCAAAGACATTCAGCTAAAAAGGGGACAGCTGGGACAGAAAGCTGCTACCCAAAAGAACAATATAATCCTGTGAAAAGTAATCAACAAATTTAAGAGTGTTAATTAACTTTACACTTTATCATGTTCAATTAGTTGTCTTTTCTTAGAAAAGATTGCCGTGCACAATCGGTTTAGAGCATGCCATGTTTGATTTGTAAGTGATCACTGTTTCAGTTTCAAAGTCGATATCAGCCATTCTCT